TGGGGGACATTCCACATCTTACCCTCAGCTGTTTCTTTGAGTTTCTTGGGGAGCTAAGCGCTGCCATAGTGATTATCTCATTGTTTCTTTTTGCATGTCACATAGCTTAGTTTTATGACTCCTGATGGTAATTTGCTTGAACTATTTTTAAGCTGCACCTGCTTTAATGAAGACTGTCATGTAGCCAGTTTGTTTATATTTTCACTGTGACTGATTAACCACCTGTGTTTCTTCTGTAACTTTCTTGCCTGCACAGTAAAAACAGAGAGACCTGGCTCGGTGCTGTGCCTGGGGTCCTTCTCCCTTGAAGGAACTTTCCCTGGGTGCAGTCACCTTCAGGCCTCTCAGTGCTCTGGAGAAATGGGCTCTGAGTAATTCTTTGCATCTCTGTCACCCTGATAGAGGTGAGGACATTATAGAATCAGTGTGTTAGGTAAGGAGAGAACTGGAGAAGCCAGGAAGGAAATATTGATGAAAAACAGAAGTGGCAGAGCAGGACTTGTGGAAAATAAAAAGAAGAGTTACAGGAGAGCTGAAGAGGAAAAACTAAAGCCAATGTTGGCTAAGAGAAGGGACTTTTGGAGGACTTGAGGACAGGAATAAGAAGTAATGTGGCATTTGCTTTCATACATCAGAGAAATTGAAAGGAAAAAAAGTTGGAATCAGATCTCTTCCAGGGGATGAGAGAGGGTCAAACATGTGTTTTCAGAGTTGCAGAAAACTTGCTACATTGTTTATAGGTGTATGAAGATCTGAGACAGAATCCTATTCATAGCCACAAACTAATTGTGGGGCTTAAGGAAAATTATATAACATTCCTAAACTTAGTTTTGTCTCCTGTAAATTGATCTCACAGGATTCTTACATAGATTAAATTAGACGATATATGCAAAATAATTGCATAGTGCCTAGTAAGGAGTAAGAATTCAACAAATGGTTATTACTTACCATTATTATTACTCATTATTATTGCTTTAGACAAATACCCTAAAATCTACCTTAGGTGAAATTTCTCAAACTATTTTCTGCCCACACCAAACTGTGGTATTAAACAATTAAGGAATAGTCATTTGAGAGGGTTTGATAGTAGATGTAGTTACAAGAAAAGAGAGAAGTAGCAGATTCAAAACCACAGTACATGTGAAAACTGGATAAGAAGGCTTTTAAAAATTGTGTTAAAATACACATTGCATAAAAATTTAACATCTTAACCATTTTGAAATGTACATTTCAATAGTATTAAGTATATGTTATGGTTTAAAAATTATAAATGTAAATCCTAAGAAAAATTTTATTTGGGAACAGTGGATTGCAGTGGGACTGCGCATGCCATAGTAAACTATGTGTGTATTCAGGGAAGTGAAGGAAGACAAAGGTTTTTAAAGGCAAAATGAGAAAAGGGCATGTAATTTGTTTTCAAACAAAGAGAACATTGGTTACAGGGGTTTATCAAAGGAGTTGACACGAGTTCATTAGTGGGGATGGTGTCAGGCAGATGTTCTTGTACATCCAGCTAGCTGTCCTTGTGACTCATGTAGGAAGTTGTGGTTTGAAAAGTCCTTGGCAAAAATCTTGGTTAAAGGCACATGTGAGTAAGAGAGTCTTTGTAAAGTTTCTCATCATAGACATGTGTGCAAGAGGGTCCTCCCTCCTCAGCCTCCTGGCTTTGTCTATTTTTTGCTGGAGGTTGACGCACATGACTGCACTTTGATTCTGACAACTTTCACGTGTGTTTACATTGTTGCTCAGCTAATCTCCAGAACTTTCTCACCCTACTGAACTGAAACCCTATACCCTTAAACACTCCCCATTTACCGCCCTCAATATTCCCAGCCCCTAGCAACCACCATTCTTTCTTTTTCTATGAACATGACTACTCTGGACACCTCATATAATTGGATTCATATAATATTTGACTTTTCATGAATGGCTTATTTTGCTTAGCTCCATGCCGTCAAGGCTCATCCATTTTGTAGCACGTCAGAACCTCCTTTTTAAAATCTGAATAATAGTCTGTTGTGAGTATGTACCACATTTAGTTTACTCGTTCATCAGCAGTGGACACTTGAGTTGCTTCTACTTATTGGCTATTGTGAATAATGCTTCTCTGAACATGGTTCTACAAGTATCACTTTGAGATCCTTTTATTCTTTTATACACACACACACACACATGCACACACACACACACACCAAGGAAGTGGAATTCTGGAACATATTGTAATTCTCTTCTTAATTTTTTGAGGAAATACCATGCTGTTTTCCATACTGGCTACACCACATTACATTCCCACCAATGGTGCACAAGATTTCTAATTTCTCCACATTGTAGCCAACACATTTATTTTTAATAGCAGCCATCCTAACGAGTTCAAGGTGATATCTCATTGTGGTTTTGATTTGTATCTCCTTCCCTTATAATTAGTGGTGTTGAACATCTTTTTATATGCTTTTTGGCCATTTGCGTGTCTTCTTTGTAAAAATATCTGTTTATGTCCTTTGCCACTTTTTGCAGTCAGGTTATTTGTTTTTTTGTTGTTGTTGATAGGGTAATATTTTAAGTAGTGGTGTGTGCATGTGTACGTGTGCATGTGTGTTTTAAACAAAATCTTATGTTGGGTGCCTTTATATATAGGAAAGATATAAACATATTTTTCCAGTGTCAGTCATTAAAACACTGATTTAGAAGGGATCAGAAAAGTGGTTGTTCATATTTTGACTTTCATATATCTTCAATTTTATTTAAATATGTATATATATTTAAATTAGGGCATGTTCTTGTTCTCTATCCTAATTATTTCACTTATTTCCTTTTCTATATCACTACATACGCAATTACATTGGAATTTGAACGGGTAAGTGGTACCCCTTCGTTCATTCAAGAAACCTGCACTGGAAGCTTAATATGTCATTGGGCGATGTCCTGTAGATACAGCAGTGAATAAGACAAGCATGATCCCTACTGTTATGAAACTTTTCTGGATCAATGTTCAATGTTCAGCTTATGACTGATAAGTATCAGTGTGATGAATATTTATCCCTGAACACTATCCAGGCTTTATTACATATTATGGCATGTGTGTTCTTTCACCAATATCTAGCATTAGTAGAACAGTACACTAATACTAGACTTGTTTGGCTCCAGCATATCATCCAGCATAAGCACCCCAAAGTGTGGGGATCACCATTCTGTATGATCTTGGGTTTTGGCCAGTCAGGTTAGGAGGGGTCACAGACTCCTCATATTGCACTACTTTTATCTATGATTAAATGGGCTTCATTATCCTTTTGCCTCAAGCTTTTTGTAAGGGAAGCAATTTATTTTATTTGAGGTTTTCACTTTTTTGTTTTCTTTTGGGTTTCAAATAGGAAGGAGACCTTGGGGAGTAAAAATAGAATACAAGAACTACAGATGACTAAAAGTTTCATGTAAACTAAGAGCTGGTGTGTCTGTGGTATCCCCAGTAAATAATACCCCTATTCCTCTCTTGGATTCCAAAACAATTGAGAAATAATTATCAACTCCAGACTTGTTGGAGGCCACGTTAGGAAGTCTTGGTGGGAGAACCCAGTAAGCATGTTAACCCCATAACTATCTTCTCTTTCACATCACTGAATGGGAAGGTTTTACACCAAAGAGTAATTTGGGATATTGGCAGCATAATACAGGAGGAAAACCATGACACAATAGGAGTTAAAAGGGCTTTGGGTCTAGGCCTGGCTTTCCCTTAACTTAAGGAGAGTGTTGGACAGGGAAGACATTTACTGCTGTATCTCAGTGCTGCCATCTACAGGCGGGGGCAATGGGTAGTAGAACAGAATAAATGGAAATAAGAGTAAAGTCAATATATAAACATGACCTCTGTCAGTGCTCATTTTACCAGTTATTTACTGAACACCTTCTTTGTATCATAAGCTCTGGAGAGA